CATCAAGATCGGAAGCAATGGCCAAGAAATCAGAGTGAGTATATGGTTCCCGACAATAGGCTTGTAGGCAGATGTTAGTAGCAGCAAGGCCACACAGATTCGATGGAGGCCAGTCAGGCAGATTTTCTAAAGAAGCTCCTACAGTCCCCTTGCCAAGTTCATCCTCAGATGGTCCCTCGCCGTCATCCCTCCTATTTTGTGTTTGTCGCATTGCAGAAAGGTCTGTAGTCGAAGAGTGTCGCAAGCGTGGTACGGATGCTTGGGTATGCTTGGGGAGGCAAAAGACGGGGACGGGATATTGGGGAGGGCCAAGGTGGGGAGAATGAACGGGTTCTTCTTCATCCAAGAACAGAGATGGAGGAAAGGGGAGTAAGTTGAGGTTGGGGAGTAAGCCGAAGTCGGCGTCTAGGACGGCGAAGTRGGCTTTCTGCAGGGGCAGAACAGGATGACGAAGTCTGTGTGRACGAAGTGGTTTGTGGATTAGGAAGAGGGGTAACGGATGGAGAAAAAAACAGGGGAGGTAGGAGTGGTGAARACAGGGGTGGTAGAGTAGTCCGAAGGTGGGTAACAGATGGAGATAAAACCAGGGGAAATTAAGGCGATGAAGACGGGGGTGATGAAGTCAGGGGTGGTGAAGTGGCTGAAGCAGAGACAAGGGGGCAGTCATAGGTGGTACCCGAAGAGGGGACTTTGCAGGTGATAATGCAGGCATGGCCACAGATGCCATGGAGGAGCACACCGAGACCAAGGGCGACACAGCAGTTGCGGGTCGAGTTGCTCCCGCGGAATCAATCGTAGAAGCAAACAAGGCCGATGAGGAAGAGACTGCGGACCGAAAAGGGGCAGCCAGGGTCACAAACGACATGGAAGGATCTGCAGGTGGTAATGCAGGCATGGCCACGGATGCCATGGAGGAACACACCGGGACCAAGGGCGACACAGCAGTTGCGGGTCGAGTTGCTCCCGTGGAATCAATCGTAGAAGCAACCAAGGTCGATGAGAAAGAGGCTGCAAATCGAAAAGGGGCAGTCAGGGTCACAAACGACATGGAAGGGGTTACTAAGACTGATGAGGACGCAAGTGCGACAGACACAGGTACTGAAGAAGAGGCTATGATAGGTGTGATATATATGTATGTGGGTGTTTTGCTTGCTTGTGATGGGGTGTGAAGCGACAGTCTATAGAGTTTTCGATCTGGTGTGGGTGAGTGATAGTCTGCTTTGATTTTCGTCACAGGTACCTTGTGATGGGGTGTGAAGCGACAGTCTGTAGAGTTTTCGATCTGGTGTGGGTGAGTGATAGTCTACTTTGATTTTTGTCATAGGTACCTTGAGGGCAGTGGTTGGTGCCCACCTAAGGGTATCAGTTGTCGGGCAGCCGTTGATGCTTAACCACAGCCGGGGTTAAGGTGGATTATCACTTACAGTGTAATGGATTTTGCAGACTGTTGAGGGTTCAGCCTCCTGATGAGTCAGTGAAACTCCGACGAAACAGTTTGTCACAGCCCCTCGTTTGTTGTCCTCTTCTCCCTCTCTGCCTACGGTTTACCGGGCAGCTCTGTTTGACTATCTCGTTTGTTGTCCTCTTCTCCCTCTCTGCCTACGGTTTACCGGGCAGCTATGTTTGACTATCTATATATAGTCAAACAGAGCTGCCCGGTAAACCGTAGGCAGAGAGGGAGAAGAGGACAACAAATGAGGGGCTGTGGCAAACTGTTTCGTCGAAGTTTCACCGACTCATCAGGAGGCTGAACCCTCAACAGTCCGCAGAATCCCCTAACTGATTACACTGTAAGTGATAATCCACCTTAACCCCGGCTGTGGTTAAGCATCAACGATTGCCCGACAACTGATACCCTGAGGTGGGCACCAACCACTGCCCTCAAGGTACCTGTGGCAAAAGTCAAAGCAGACTATCACTCACCCACACCAGATGGAAATATATATTTTATATATATATATATATATATATATCAAAAAATATTAGTTCAAGAAGCTGTAGATGCATTAATAGATAATGGCTTAAGAGGACCTCCTATGCGAGATAGCAATAATAGACCATATAAATCATTATCGGATGTAATTAGTGGTAAACAGGGAAGATTTCGACAAAATTTACTTGGTAAACGTGTAGATTATTCCGGACGTTCTGTAATTGTAGTAGGTCCTCATTTAAAAATTTACCAATGTGGATTACCTAAAAATATGGCCATTGAATTGTTTCAACCTTTTTTAATTCATTATATGATTAGTAAGAAATTAGCGTCTAATCTAAGGGTTGCTAAAA